GTGTCCAGCACACGTGGCCAATAAAGCCGATTCATGCCGATGTAAGATTAGACTTACTATTGTAATGGCCACCTTTAAAAGATGTTTATACCTATGTGCACTACTTGGGTATTTTAGTAGCTTACCTTGCCTACAAGAGCTAACCCTACACTTGTCTTTGCTGTGATATACCTGAAAATTGTTTTTAACTGAACAATTTACAGTATAATAAAGGAATAGTCCAACATTTTGGCAATTTAGATTATTTGCTTCCTTCGTTGTTTGTACTAGTAGTACAGAGTCGAGCCATTATACCACGCTGAAGCTGGATTTACACTACTGTTCAAAGGTCAGGGGTCACCTCCAGTTCTCCAGTTTTTATTGACATTTAATCAGTTCAACTCCAATGGCACAAAGTTAAGGAAACTGCCAGAGGTAAAACAAACAAAAGGTTCCAAAAACTAAAAATGTTTGTAATTTTCATATAAAACTGGCTTTTTTCAGGGATTAAGTAATAGCTTCACATATGTCTGTTTTGCAGCAGTGGAAGTAAACGAAACTGATGCATACAACTCGTACAGGTGCCCCAACGTTTGTTATCAGGTCATTAACAGAGGGAGAGAGGGAAAAATACATCCAGGTTGTGCAAAAGAAAACAATGATGGATCAGCAGCACAGTGTCCAGATGTTCCCTGTGAAGAGTGAAAGCAAAGCAATGTACTGCAACACATCTGTGGGAGCAGTGCTACAGTGTTACTGTGGGCTGTTTTCTGCTGCGAGTTTCTGATCTGAGCACAGGTTGTTGACAGTAGAGACAACATAAAGCCTGTTATCGTCTCCTTTTCAGTAATACACATCTAGCAGAGCGATCAGTACTGCAGACATTCTGCTCACCATCACAGTAAATGCAAAAGTAGTAAGTATGAAATGCTGGTTGTGGCGGCGTCTCAACTCGTAAAATCCAATGTTTAGCTAAAAGTTAAACACACATTATGACGGGATTCCTAACCTAGTGTGTCAAGTATGAATGCAGGCTAAATACTGAAAGTGTTACCACAGTTTTAAAGTGTTTTATCAGCCTTTGTTATTGAAAGAAAAACTGCAACTCTGTGTGGTGGAATTTTCTTATATCTATATAAACTTCCATATCTGTAAGTGCATTCCTGAATTTTTTTTTCCCAGCTGTATCATGTGTCCTCAGCTCCTTCTGTGAATGAATTATGGCTCTTACTTACACGGGCTGGAGCAGGTTCCTTGTGTGGTGTTCTGCTGGTTCAGGGTGCCATCGGTAAAGAATCTGGAGGAGCAGCCAGCGAGGAGCAGCAGCAGCAGGCCGAAGAGGTGAAGACGCACCAAAGGAATCGGGTGGAGCGTCGAGTAATAAAGGGACATGGTGGACTGGGACGCAACGACACAGACACACAGTTACATACACTACCTAACAGCTACACACACAGGCCTATGTTACATACACACGCACATGATGGAGACCAGGAAGAAGTGATGTGAAGGCAGCATCCACGTTCTGCACCTACAAAATACACCAACACAAGCATGTGTCAGCAGCAGCCACAGATATGAAATACTTTACAGCCAGCTGTTGTTTTCAGCACGTTTCAGTGCATTATGAAAATCGACTTGCAGAGATGTGACTTGCTTGTGAAACATAATGCATTACCTGACTTTGCTGCTCTGTCTGTGACATTCAGCCCAAACCTGTTTGTTCCTACTGAACATCTAAATCTTTAAAGACTAATTCCCTACCACACTGTGGCTTTTACCAAATGTTACTCAAACAGGAGGAAACAATGCATTAGTCGTGGACTATTTTCAGTGGCGGATTAATCCATATTTGGTGCTCTAATGAGAATTTGGGGTGGTAGGATGTTATATGTGGGAGAGAGTCAAAATAACCTACAGTGCATGTTCAGGACTATAAAGGAGCATGTCACCCAGTGCAACAACGTGGCTAACTGATGTAACCTTTGTACAAAAAACAGGTCTCTATGCCACAGGAACACACATTTGTACAACTATCTTTGAGGATATTCATAACCATAATGCATCTCCTAGGTTCTTACCTTAACCTTAACTATCACAACCCTAATCCGAGTCTCAACCTTCAGCTAGCCCTTTGAAGGGAACCAAGACAGTGAGGACCAGTGAAAATGTCCTCACTCGCATGTCCTCACACTGCTGGCCACACACACACCTGCCTTTGTATTTTTTGATATTTTTCAATACATTTTTAATTAAATTGCTTTAAGGTCAAGAGTGTATTAAATCTATTTTAATCAGAAACAATGTTACTATTTAGGTAAAACCAATTTTACTAGAGCTTCAAGATTTCTGCAAAGCCCCTCCGTAGCATCCAAAATAAAGCATTCTTACATATTTTTGGGTGTGAAGGAAAGTTTAATAGTTCAGCAAAAATTCATCCAAACCTCATCACAAGAGCTACGGCGCCATCATAAGGACAGATGACAAGCTCCATTCAACCTCTTACAGTGACATGTAAACAATGCTTCAAGCAGTGTGGAGTTTGCTTCAAGGGTTTTTACAGGACACAGCAGTAAATCCAGCATAAGACAGAGGTGATGACTGACTCATCTAGTGTCAGAACAAGGTAAGTCTCAGTTAGTACAGTGATGACAGACGCACCTCAATAATGTCTGTTATGCCCAAAAACCCAAACCCTTTTCCACAAGTGTATGAATTTACACATATAGAAAGAAATTGGTTAAGGATGTTGTTACTCCAGGTTCAAGGTCCGTATATTGAAATGCTAATATACAAGCCCAACTCAGAAAAGGTTGGCACAGTGTGTAAAATCTAAATTAAAACTAGTGATGTGTAAATCATCTGTCCTGTATCACAGTGAAAACAACACCGTAGCACATTACTTGATGTGACACCTCATCAATTATATTTTTTATTGGTCCAGAGGACATACATACCTGTAGAGGTGTGGAAGTGTCTAGGAGAGACAGCTGTGGAGTTTCTATCTAGTTTGTTCAACAGGATTTTAGAGAGTGAGAAGATGCCTGAGGAATGGAGGAGAAGTGTACTAGTGCCGATCTTTAAGAACAAGGGTGATGCGCAGAGTTGTAGCAACTACAGAGGTATAAAGTTGATGAGCCACACAATGAAGCTATGGGAAAGAGGAGTGGAAGCTAGGCTAAGAAAGGAAGTGGATATCTGTGAGCAGCAGTATGGCTTCATGCCCAGAAAGAGCACTACTGATGCAATTTTTGCTCTGAGAATGTTAATGGAGAAGTATAGAGATGGT